CATCCCAGTGCCAAGGATGCAAGGAGCCAGGCAACACTGGAAAGGAGGGAGTAGCAGTGAGGAGGGGACTCCAGCAGGGCCCTTGAGTGTGTGGCAAGAAAGAAGCAGCAGAACACGAAAAAGCTGAGACAACAGCTCAGGTGTTGGGCCCCAGGTGCTCAGCTCCACCCTGCCCTGACAGACAGGAGATGACAGACAGGAGAGGAAGGAGTGGCAGGGAGGAACAGGAAGTCCAGGGCTTTTCTGGTTGTTTTTTGCAGTCCAGGCATCCAAATCCAAGGTACTCCACCCTGAGCTACATCCCCCGCCCTTTTTATTTTTTATTTTGGGACAAAGTCTTGATCTGTATGTAGCACAGGCTGGCCTCAAGCTTGCAGTCCTTCTGCGTCAGCCACCAGGCGTGCTGTGAGATCACCAACGTGTGCCTCCACACCCAGCTGAGAATAGGAACCCAAAGTGGACGCTGGCCCCACGCCTGCTTCCGGGCTGGTGCTGGTCCCAGGTTCTGTCTGTGTGCACCCGCAAATGCGTCTGTGGCTCTGCACCTCAGCCTGCGCCCAGGGAGGGAGCCCAGAAGTGTTCTTGGGGTTTGCTGACTGCGCCCAGAGTGACCAATAGAATCTCCATCTGGGGTGCAGCCTAGTGCTGCCTGCCTACCACTGTGCACAAAGCCCTAGCTGCCATTCCCAGCACTGCAAACAAGAAAAAAAGTAGCAAAAGCCAAACCCCAAAGTACCAGAGGCACTGCAGCCTCTCCGTGGGGGCACAGGACCTGCCAGCCCCAGCCCAGCCCACTGTACAGCACAAGGGCACTTAAGGCTCCTTTCTCCCCCTCTTGCTGTCCCTTTGTGGGGAGCAGGGCAACCATGTGGCCAAACGCCAAGGCCGCCCTGTTCTGCATTCTCTGGGTATTGCCTGCACCACTGTCATCACTGCTTCCAGAAGCATCCTGAGACCTACCAAGGGCCTGGGACAGCAGGACAGAGCCAGGGCTCATACACATGCATATACTCATACACACGCACATGACAGACGGTGCCAAAGGCTGGGCAGAAAACTTAAATATGCCAGGCACAGTGTGGTCCACTTGTCATCTCAGCACTCCCAGAGGTTGAGCCAGGAAAATGTGAAGTTGGAACCCAAGCTGGGCAACTCAGTGACTTGGTATGATCCTGTCTCAAAATATCAAATTGGGGCCAGGGAAATGGCTCAGTGGCACAGTGCCTGCCTGGCAAGTGTAAGGTCCTGAGTTTGATTCCTGGTACCAAAATATATATATGAAAACTTTAAAAAGACCTGAGGATGCAACTCAGTGTGAAGCTCCTATTACCTGAAAAAGAGGAAAGAAAGAAAGAAAGCCAGCCAGCCTGCCTGCCTAAAGCATGAGAGGTAACAAGGTGCTGGGTGCTACCCAGGCTGTGCTCGGAGAAGGGTGAAACAAGAATGACAAAATTCCCAGACAAGAACTGAACCTGCCTCTTCCACACCCAGGGGCCTCCCTCCACCTCCAGCCCAGCTGGCCCCGGTGGAACGTCCAATAGCAGAGGGGCTCAAACTCCGCTCTGGAGGCGTGGGAGTCACAGTGCACACAAGGCAGAGTCTGCAGAGGCTCTGGGCTCCGTCCCCAGTACCATGTGCATGCACACACACACACACACACACACACACACAGTCACCCCTGGATGTTCACAGGTTCCACATCTGCAGATTCAACCCACCAGACCAAAAATACAGAAAAAAGAAAAGAAACCTGCTCATACTGAACCACTTTGTAGTAATTATTCCCTGAACTACACAGCCTGCCCCGACTTCAAGGTGTCTGCACTGTACAAGCACCGCACCTGGTCTCCCAGGCCAGCCATTTACACCAGGCCCCTCGGCAGTACAGGCATGGGTCCCGGGAATGTCTGGGCACCCATCCCCCACATGCCAAAGGACACACACACTGTTCCACGCTCTACCTATGGCCACTGTGATTGTCATCCTTCCTAAGAAAGCAGCATGCTCCCCACACCTCCAAAGCTGTGCATTTGCCACTCTGCCTGCCCTCCCTCTCCTCCCACCCGGGAACTGGCTTCTCCTCACACCAAACCCTGATGCCTGCATCCCCTCTTCCTTCCTGTGGCACAGTCCCTGCACCCTGGAGCCCCAGGAGCTGGCGCACAGCCCTCCCTGTATCTCCTGTGTTGCCAGTCAGTAGCCACAGGATCTGCTCCCAGAAGAGCCTGGTTTGAGCAGAGGCACAGACAGGACAATGCCCGCTTGCCAGCCTGGCACAGCTGCAGAGCCCCTGAAAAGGCCTTTATCCCCAGTGGGGCTGGGAAACACTCATGGTCCTCCCTGACTGGTGGGGCAGGGGAGCGATGACAGAAGTCCCTCTCTTCCCCCTTGCTGCTCTTGGAGAGTTAAAACTTAAGTAGAATTATCAGAAAAGGAAACTTCAGGGGTCAGGGGTATAGCTCAGTGGCATAAGCACATGCCTGGCAAGTGCAAGGCCCCAAGTTTGATCCCTGGTACTGGGAGAAAAAAAAAAAAAAAAAAACTTCAGCATCCAAGATAAAGTCCAAGGTCCCTCTAGTATACATAGCCCTGTCCAGCCAGCCTCTTCTCCCATGGGGGACATCTATGGCAGAGCCTGCCTTCAAGCCAGGAGCAGAGCACAGAGTCCCTGCCTTGTTGGAGGGTGGTAAGGGGTGACACTTGCCTCACAGGTGCAGGACCTGGCTCTGATCCCCAGTATGCACAACAACAAAACAAAAATAAATACATAAATAAATAAATAAAAGAGCCCAGGCATGTGAACACCAGGCCTGCTGTGGGCTGAGGAGAGCAAAGACCACAGCCTAGTGAGCAGGAGGAACAGGACAGCAGGGGACAGATGATGTGAGTCTCTGAGCACAGGGGGAAAGTGCCAGGCTGCAACATGACTGGTGAGGACAGATGGCAGCTGGGGGGAAGCAGCAGTGAGCTTCAAGCAGGGCTGGCTTTGAGCATCTGCTTCCTGAGATGTTCTCTGTCACCACGATGAGTTCAAGTTCTCAATGTGCTGTCTTTTTGGTTGGTGGTTGTTACGGTTTGTATCTAGGCATCCCCCCAAAGTCTCATGCAGTCATGCAATGGGCTTCTAAACTTTGTGATTAATTCATGATCCAGTGCTGGGATTCTGGGTGTGAGTGCTGCACCCAGCCTGGGGCAGACAGACTGAAAGCACCACAAGGGAGACGGACTTGCTCTCTGCTCTTCGCTGCCACCGTGAATGGCTGCCCTCTGCAATGTGCCGCTCTGCCTTGGCGCCAGCAGAGTATGGACTGAAACCTCCACTAACTGTGAACAAGTGAAAAGTAACTGAGCACATGGCTGACACTGACAAAGGTTCTACAATCTGAGGTACAGGATCTCAGGATAAATCCTGAGGGCATTTCACTGACCTTCTCAGATCAAAAAACTACAACTCTTGTTGCACAGGTCCTGCTTTACCTTGGTCTTAACCATCCAGTAGAAAAGTATGAAGACGAAATATAGGAAGTAAAGCCATGTTGTTTTGTTGAGCTGTGGGGGACTCAGGTCAATAATTTCTGACATTGCCAGTTAAACAGAAGACCCAATGCTATTATGGGCTACTGGACTCTTTTAGAATATTTTGCTGAGTTTACACACCTATAATATTCAATAACGGAACTTAGAAAAAATGGGGTATACCGATGAATGTCCATTTTGTATCTGTGTATTCAAAGTGGTTGGGATAGATATATAGTTGCATTCTCTTAATGAATAGAATGATTTTTTCTAATGGTGTTTGTAAGTAGGATCACAAGTCTGCATCTTGTACAGCAATTAACCACTAAGAAGAATATATGCAGTGTATTATTTGTTGAAACTGTACTTTCGATTTGATTTGAAACTGTCTCATTGCTATATGTTTATCAATAAAACTTTGAAAAGAAAAAAAAAAAAAGAAAGAAAAGTAACTGAGACAGTGGTATGAGCAGTGTTAGAGACTCAGGGCTTCAGGACATGCTAAGCTGTCCCAGTATCCCTAGCCCAGAGTCTTTATTGTGGTACCCACAGAGGAAACTGAGGCAGGTTCAGTTAATGCCAAAGGCCTTGCCCTTTGCCACCATACACCTCACCCCTTCCTCCTGCCACGTGCAGCCCACTTTGGGAGCAACAGAACCCTCACTCTGCCACTCATGAGCTGTGGGTGGGTCGTCGCATTTCTGTGCCTCAGTTTCTCCATTGGACAATAAAGGAGAATAGGCTAGACCTGCGGGCACACACCTATAATCCCAGCACTCAGGCAGCTGAGACAGGAGGATCAGCATGAGTTCAAGGTTTGACTGGGCTACAAAGTGAGTTTAAGGCCAGCCTGAACTGCATAACAAGGTGGGGAGGGGGACTAGTAACCCTATTGCATGTATCTGTAGGAATAAAATAAACAGACTTAGGCCTGGGGCACAAGCCCAAGATCCTAGAACTTTGGGAGGCTGAGACAGGAGGATCACAAGTTCAAGCCCATCCTGAACAATTTAGGTATTTAGCAAGACCGTGTCTCAAAGTTAAAAAAAAAAAAAAAATTAAAAGCTCTAAAAGGGCTGTGGACGTAGCTCAGTGAAAACGTCATTAAGACTGAAGATGTGACTCAGTGCAGAACCCTTTCCTAGCAAGTACCAGGGCAGGGGTCCCCTCCTGGTACCACCAAAATATTATCAAGAGCACTCCAAAGAAGCATTCCAGCAGCAGCAGCTTTATGAAAATTATGAAGGTAGCTGGCTGCAGGACAGTGTCCCCAGGGATTCCAACATTCTTGGCTGCGAGGTCAGTGTCAGCAAGAGGCTGTTAAGACCTCGCCTGAACTTGAGGACGGCCCAAGGTCCCCTCACCTGGCCAGGGCTCCCAGGAACAAAGAGTGCCGAAGCAAAATTGACAACTTGATCACAGCCACAAGCCTCTTCCCAGCAGAGTCACTCAGGGCTGTCTAACTGCTCTTTCTCTCTCCTCAGGGACCAGTGAGACCAGAGGCTGTGCTGAGCTTGAGGGCCTCTAAATCCCCAGCAAGACCACTGACAGCTGCGCCAGCTGTGCAGCCCAGAACCCGGCCATGGGTGACTCCCACCTTCCTCCAGCACCAGGTCCCACTTGCTCATCTCCAGGCCCCACCCACTGCTTACAAGGTGAGTGAAAATGGAACACAGTCCAAGATGCGCACTCCAGATGGCCCCCAAAATATCACCTGGACAACACCCCCAGGAGCGCTAACCCTGGAAGCGAAAGAAGGTCCTGATGAGGGGGCTACAAGAGGGGCCTGAGCACGTCCAAATGTCCTGGAGAGCTGAGGACTCAGGGTGTTGCACGAGAGTGAGGCCTGCCAGGGTCCAAGCTGTGGTGGTGGCAGGGCACAAGGCTCTGTGCACAGCCACATGTTCCGCTGTCTCCACGGGAAGGAGGCTGTTAACCAACACATGGGCTGTGCAGCCTGACACACTACCTGCTCAAGGGCACCTGTGGACACAGGAAAGCCTGGCAACCCAGGACCTGGGCACTGCCAGGGGGTTCCAAGAAGGTGACAGAGCTCACCCCTTTCCCAGGGCATAGTGGCTCACACCTGTAATCCCAGCACTCAGGAGGCTGAGGCAGAAGGATCACTCGAGTTCACGGTGTTCTGAGCTACACAGCGAGTCTCAAAGCCAGCCTGTACCACATAGCAAGACTCTGTCTCAAAAAGCCAGAAACAAGTTTACCACCTTGACTGGGTGCATAGGACGGATGAGACAGAACTCAGGCTTCAGCTTCTCAGAAAGCCGAGGCGCTAAAAAAAAAGGGGGGGGAGGGGAACTAAAAAAAAAAAAGAAAGCTGAGGCAGGAGGATCCCATGAGCACAGGAGTCCAGCTCAGCTCAAAAACATAGAGAGACCCTGTCTCTCTAGTGTGTTTGTGTGTGTGTGTGTGTGTGTGTGTGTGTGTGTGTTGTGATACCAGGGACTGCACCTAAGTATTATACCTACTCCACCACTGAGCTACATGCTCAACCCTTTTTTTTTTTTTTTTTAAACTAAAACTGCCCACGGCATACACTACTGCACCCGTTTTTAAAATAGGTCCCTTTAAAAACTAGTTAAAGAAGGGCCAGTCAGATAGCTCAGCAGACTCAAGTGCCTGTTTAGGCAGAATGCAGCAGCCAGGGTTTGATCCCCAGCGAGCTGTGCCAACCCTGCCCCCAGGGTGTGCCGAGATGTGACTGAGACTGGGCATGGTGGCGCGGCACATGCCTATAACCCCAGTGCTTGGGAGGCTTAAAACAGGAGCATCACTACAAGTCCGATCTGTGTAGTAAGACCCTGTTCTAAATACATTTAAAAAAAAAAAAACCTAGCTATGTAAAGTGGCACAGTCCAGTAAGCCCAGCACTTGGAAGGCTAAGGCAGGAGGACTGCGATGAGTGTGATGCCAGCCTGGACTACACAGGAAGACCCTGTCTCAAAAAAAAAATAAAATAAAAAGCTCATTACACTTTTGGCAAGTCCCACTCTTATCTCACTTGTACTGAATGATTCCATGAAGCAGTGTCCACTTCAGGGAAGAGGCAGCCTCTCCAGCAGGCCCCACCTTCCCCACAACAGAACCCTGGCCCTACCTCAAACAGAACAGCCCTGCCACAGGGACAGCAACACCTCCGACTGGGGAGAGGGTGGAAGCCAAGAGGCAGCTCTGCTGCTTTCTGGCTAGGACACGGAGTGAATGCACGCACTCCTCTGGGCAGCCCTTACCTGTGAAGTAGAAGTGACACAAGTAACCCCTGCTCAGGTGCTCAAGGACTCAAGGAACTGCGATCTGCAGGTGTGATGGCACAGGACCAAAAACTTCATCGCAGCATTCTGGGAGGCTGAGGCAGGAGGAGCGAAAATACGAGCCTAGTCTGCGTAACTTAAGTCACTTAGCAAGGTCCTATCTCAAAATAAAAACAATTTTAGAGGACTGGTAATATAGCTTGGTGTGAAGGCCCTGGGTTCAATCCCCAGAATAGTGAGTGAGTGAGTGAGTGAATGAGTGAATGAGTGAATGAATGAATGAATGAATGAATCTGGCTAGCGGCCATCAGTAGTGGATATCCTCCCACTTTGTGGTGCTGGCCATTCTACCCTGGAGTCACAGAGACAAAGGTGTGCATCTTTTTCAGCCTGGATGTGACTTCAGGCAAGGTCCCTTGTCTTTCTGAGCCCCAGGTCCCTTCTTTATAAAACAGGGGTTCAAAGAGGAGCTCTCAGTGTCTCTGGAAGGACTTCCCTGCTATTACTCCCTGCCAAGGTCTCTCTGCTATTACTGCTCTCCAGCAATAAAGAGATGGGAGGTGGCTCAGTGACATAACTCTGGGTTGTACCCCCAGAACCCCAAAAAAGAAACCATACAAGGAGAAATTACACACCTATTCTGTGTCCAAATCCAAAATCAATCCCGAAGACATTTTCTAAAGCTCTGTTCAGAGCAGAGGGTAAAAAAGTATATGACAGAATAAGTAGCCCTCAATCTCAGAACACAGAACCTGCCAGCAAACAGGCACTAGAAGACCAGCATGGTGGCGCACACCTGTAATCCCAGTATTCGGGGAGGCTGAGGCAGAAGAATTGAAAGTTTGAGCCCACCTTCACTAAAAAAGATATCTTTTTATTTAAATAAAAAACAATTGACAGCTGGGCATGGTGCTGCATGCCTGTAATCCCAGCACTGAGGCTGAGGCAGGAGGATCCTTGCTAATTGGAGATCAGCCTGATCTACAAAGTGAGCTCAAAGCCAGCCTGAACTGCATAGTGAGACTCTGTCTCAAAAAGATTAAAAGTGGGGGGTGGTCAGGGATATAGCTCAGTGGCACAAGCACCTGCCTGGCAAGTGTGAGGCCCTGAGTTCGATGCCCAGTAGCAAAAAAAAAAAAAAAAAAAAAAAAAAATTATGGCATCCTCTGCAACTTGCTTTTTTCCACTGCATATGATGTTGGGAGATAAACTGTAGGGCTGGGTAAATCTAACCAGAATTTTCCTCCACCCCAGGCTGCCCACAACAGTTAAAATGAACAATTCAGAGCACCATGAAGCACCTTTGCCTTACGGATACCACAGGTATTTCAGTGACTTCATAATCTTTTTTTCAATACTGGGGACAGAACCAAACCCCCTCCCCCCAACTAACAAACATTCTACCACTGAGCTACATCCCCAGCCCTTTCAGTCTTCAGGCAGGATCTCATTAAATCACCCAGACTGGCCTCAACCTTGGGATCTTCTTGTCTCAGCCTTCCAGGGTGCTGGGATTACAGGTGTGTGCCGATGCACCTGGCTAATGGTCTTTAATACCAGCTGGTGGCTGTATTCTCAAATGGCTTTCACCCCAAGGAGCAACCATAGCGAGGTTAACTAATCTATCCTAGTCATACAACTACACAGTCAGTAACACTGCCAGAATCCAGCCCTGGCCCTATCCAAAGTACACACACCTATCACACCATTACCCACAAGTCTACTTTCTCCTTCACCTCTGCCCTCCTACCGTTTTCACTCCAAATAGCTGCTTCAAGACCACAAGTCTACTTCCAGAATTTTCATTTGATCTGGGCATGATGGTGCGTGCCTGCTATCCCAGGGCGCAGGAGGCCAAGACAGAAGGTTCACCTCAAGTTTGAAACCAGCCTGTACCACACAGTAAGACCCTGTCTCAAAAAAAAAAAAACACAAACAAAAATAGAACTTCCATCCTTTCATCCTTATGCCTGGGTAGGAAACTGATGCAAGAACTTGCCAAAAAGCAAGGTGATAAACCAGTCTAAAATTACTGGCAAGATGGGCACCAAAAGAGCTACCCTTGCCAAGTTTGGTGGCATTTGCCTGTAATCCCTGCACTCTGGGAGGCTGGGGCAGGAGGATTACAAATTCAAACCCAGCCTATACAACTTGGCACTTAGTGAAACCCTGTATCAAAATAATTTTCCTTAAAAAACGCAGGCCTGAAGCTTAGTGGAGAGGCTCTGTGCTCCATCCTGAGGATGAAACAAGGGGGCAGCTAGGAAAGGGCAAGATCCCCCGAGTCAGCATCTCATCACATCCAGGTACTCAGCTGCAGGGACAGAGCACTGGCCAGGGCTGCTGCTGGCCACAAGCAGACTGATTTCCTAGGAATTCACAGGCTCATTTACAAGATGCAGTGGCTGTTTCTCCAGCTGTTACTGGGATCATCACTTCCCATCTCATCTCAGCGGCAGAAACAGCAATAAAAAACAAAAGTCTGCAGTAGCCCAGGACAAGCGGTTCTCTCACTGACCTTGCTTTGACCCCAAGATAATCCCAAAGCCTGCTCTACCCTTCTAAGAGGGTGCCTCCAGCCAAGGCTCAGAAGTGACCTCTTCTACGGGCTGGGCATGGTGGGACAGGCCTGTCATCCCAGCACTCGGGAGGCTGACACAGGAGGATTACCCCAAATGTGAAGCCAGCCTGTGCTACACAGTGGATTCAAAACCAGCATGAACTACATAGTGAGAACTTATCTGCAGAAAGAAATTTTAAAAATAAATAAATAAAACAGGGCTTATGAGGGAAGCTACCCTCTCAGTAGATTACTGGAGATAGCTTGAAGGTTAAGAATGAACTTAGTTGGGGGCTTGGGAGATAAGTCACTAGAATAAGCGCTTGCCTGGCAAGCGCAAGGCCCTGAGTTCAATCCCCGGTTCCGCTAAAAAAAAGAATGAATTTAGTCCCTAACTGAAATCCACCTTTTGATGCAGATAATTGAAACCATTTCCTAAACCACCAGATAAATGTGAGTGAAAGTTCTCTTCTATTTTGATTGGTAGCACCAAACCCTTGGGGCAAACTAACCTGCTTGCTGAGCAAACTGGGCTAGAAGGCTGCTCCTCCCATGGGGAGACTCCTCTGTGAGTAACTGGCATCCATTACAGAGTATGATAACAAAGAATACAGTAAAACAATGGTTTCTGTTTCTCCCCAAGGTCCAGCTGGTTGTTGTTTTGCTTTGAGGCACCAGAGATGTAATCTAGCACACGTGTGTGGTTTGTTGTCCAGTCCAAGCCACCAGCCTCGAGCTGGGCCCAGCTTCCTGAAACAAGTGTCCATCCTCAAAAGCCTACTTTACCTAACACCTACCCTGCAAAACGCAACTTCCTTCCACTTTGAGGTCCCCAGAGCAGTCCAATCTGTACAGCATAAGACGGTGCTTGCCAAGGGCTGCAGTGGGAACAGTTACTGGTTTTGGGTTCTTTGGTTTTTGGGGGTTTTTTTTTTGGCACAACCAGGGATTGAACTCAGGCCCTTGTGCTTGCCAGGGAAGCGCTTATTCCACTGAGCCATCTCCCTGGCCCAGCAGTTACTGTTAAATGTGTGCAAGAGAAAAGAGAAGTTTTGCAGATGGGTGTGGCGATGGCTGCACAACTGAAGGGACTTAACACCACTGAACTGCTCACTTCAAAAATGAACAGAAGGACAGACTTGATGTGGCTTTCACCTCGATTTTAAAAATCTTGGCGGAAACAAGAAATCTACATAAAATTCCTCAACTTGCTAGTTTTCATTTAAGGAGCTGCATGGCAAACTAGTAAAAAAAAAAAAAAAAAAAAAAAACTCTTGACTTTGGAGAGCTGGTTCCCTCTCTGTTTCCAACTTCCTGGCTAGGGGCCTTTGGAAAGTCACTTGACATGTCTAAGACCTTCTTCATCTAATAAATGGGGATAGAAATAATATCCTGTCTCAGGGCGCTCTGAGGATGAAAATAAGGTGACAGATTACTGCTTGCACAAGAGCTACCACTTGTTAAACCACTTATTATGAAGGTTAATATACTAGTTTTTTTTGTTTTTTTTTTCAAAGTTTTATTTACAAACAGATAGCAATGAGACAGTTTCAAATCAAATCGGAAGGACAGTTTCAACAAATAATACACTGCATATATTCTTCTTAGTGGTTAATTGCTGTAATATACTAGTTTAATGACAGTGATTTAATCATAAATAGCTGAATTACTAACATTATACTATCAACTAAGTAGATAACCCCAATAGAAGATGTCATTTTAAGGGAAAAACAGTCCTAAATTAGGAGTCACAAGACTTGGACTTCAAGAGTGACTGTGGCGTAAAATCTCTCTTGATGATTAGGCAAGAGGCTGCATCTCCCTGGATGAGCTTTAGTCCGCGCGAGAATGGTGCAAAGGTCACCAGGAGACAGCTAATGCAGTCTGCCGAGGGGGTGGCAGGCGCAAAATGTGTGCAAGACTCCCTCAGATCGGGAGCACAGGTTCCGAAGGCAAATCAGCCCTCTGGGAAAGTTGCAAGCAGCCTGTGAGCTTTTCCCAGGCCCTGTAGAGACCCCAAGAAAAGGCACCCCCAAAACAGCCTGTGTTGCAGATTTATAAATACCTACTAGGCGCCTGCGCACTGGATTTTACGAGTGGCCCTGGAGCGCAGCGTGCGCCCACTGCGCCTGCGCCATCCGGCTGTTGTGGGGCAGTAGGTAGTCCCTCAAAGAAAAACCAATAGTAATGCGGTGGCTGCTCGGTCGTTGTTTCTTCGTTTCTTACCTCATAGTGCTTCATGGTTCCTTTACTTGGTGATGCCGGTTCCAGCTGCTGCTGGCCACCTGCGCGCGACACAGTACAGGATAGGTCCACACGCTTGCGACTGTCGCCCTAGACTAACTGGGCTCGGCCTCCGCCCCGCCCCTCCCAGCTCCGCGCGCCCCGCTGACCAATTAGCACTAGAGGCACCCACCCTCTGCCCCGCCTGAAAGGGCGGGCATGACCAAAGACTAGTGGCTCGCGCCACAGGACTGACCAATCACCTTGCAGGATCCAGTGAGAGGCGGAGCAAGGGAGGAGTGACTAAAAGAAGGGGCTTGACCAACCACCAATCAAAAGGGAGTTTCGGCTCCTCCGGCTTCTTTGCCCAGCCCCCAGGCGTCTCTGTGGAAACCAAAGGAAGCGGTGGTTAATACAGCTCAAGGAAGGCGGGAGTATGAAGTTGAGTGACAGGAAGGGCCTAGTCAGTAAGGCTGCCTGTGAGGCTGCGCGAGTTGCGAGATGGACCAGGCCGTGGCGCTGGGGAGTGACTAGAGAGGATCAGGGGACCTGGCAGCGAGCGCCAGCCTCCATCTGTCACGAGCGGACGTGAAGGAAGGAAAGGTGATGACGTCAGGCTCCCTGGGACCTCAGCCTGCAACATGAGCTCAACCCCATTCCGGAGGTGTCTCCCCTGGCTCCTTCATGCTGTCTTCCCCCACCACTCTCGGTCTCCAGAGGGCTCTGTGGTTGTCTTCGGGTGTGGTCACTGCTTACCTGAGCCTGAGTGCGGAGGGCCAAACTGAGCGCTTTCGGTGTCAGATACATCATGTCAGATACTGTAAGGTGCTGCCAACGTCAGGCATCGGGTAAAAAAATGAATGTAAAAAGTTACCTCCTAACTGTTTATGATAGACTACATTTTGAAATTTTAGAGAGAGAGAGAGAGAACTGAACTACATGTCCAGCCACTTTCATTTATTCATTTTAAAATAAGGTCTCCCAGCAGGGCATGGAGGGCAGGACGACACTACTATCATCTCACGCTCAGGAAGCTGAGGCAGGATTGCCGAGAGCTCGAGGCCAGCCTAAACTATACAACTGAGTTCAAGCCCAGCATGGACTATGCAATGAGAACCTCAAAACCCCAAGGGAAAAAAAGAAATAGATTCTCATTAAATTGCCCAGGCTGGCCTCGAATATGTCTCATCCGCTCAAGGACCTGAGATTGGAATGATAATAAATCTTTTGTATGGATTAAAATCCAGTATTAAAATTAAATTCCATGGTTTCTTTTTACTTTATTAATGTATCTGTTTGCCCCCCTTCCTTCCTTCCTTCCTTTTTTTTTTTTTTTTTGTATTTTTTAGGGAAGGGTCTACAGGGTGTTCAGGGTCCCACTACTAGATTGGACTCATGATCCACCTGTTTACAGCCTCCCAAGAGCTGGGATTAAGGCGTGCACTACCAGTCCAGTCTCAATTGCTGGAGACTGGGAACAGCAGGCCCGGAGATCAAACCCCCGGCCCCTGTACCTGCTTGCAGGCGCTTCCTTCCTTTCTTTTGAGTGCCTGCGCATCAAACTCAGGGCCTCATTCATAGAAGACCAGCATTCTACCTTGCTGTACAGCCTCCTATGTGAAGATTTAAAATAACAGACATAGTATGTTTATGGATCCCCAAATCTACCAGACATTGGTGGTATGGGGTTATGGCTATATACCATCATGACCTACTGGAAAATTAAACACACACACACACTCAAAACTTCAGGAGCCAGGCATGGTGGTACACATTTGTAATCCCAGCTACTTGGGAGGCTCAAATGGGAGGACCACATGTTTAAGCCCAGCCTGGGGAACTTAACAAGACCTTGTTTTAAAATAAAATTTGAAAAACAATGGGGAGGTCTAATTAGTGGAGCCCTTGCCAAGCATGTGCCACAGCCTTGCGAATTATTGCCAAAACCAACAACAACAGAAAAAAGGCAGACAGAACCCAACTCCCTTCACTTTTTCTCCTTCCTTCTCTTTCAGATCCTGGCATTGAACGTCCCTCAGCTGGTGAACCCTCTGGATCTCAGAGGCCTGACTCAGTTCACCATGAGAATTTCTTACAGGAAGAGCTCTGAGTCACAGGGAAGCAGGTCCAGGCCAGGGTGAGTGCTACTGAGTCATCCAGACTCCACATCTTTGGAATTCTTATTGCTAGAGTCAATGAAACTAAGGATGTGATCTTCAAAAACTCTCATTTGCTTTTTCACTTGGGCTAGCTAGGCAAAAACAGATAAAACATAAAGGTGTTCTGGTTTTGATTTTTGCAGAACTGGGGATTGCACTGAGCCCCATTCCCAGACCCCCCCCCTTTCTAATTTGAGAGAAAGCCTTGCTAAGTTGGCCAAATTGGCTTTGAACTTGGGATCCTCCTGCCTCAGCCTCCATAGTAGGCAGGATTACAGGTGTGTGCCGCTGTACCTCTAAAACTGAAGTTGTTTTCCATTGGAAGATAAGGTGCCTGCAATATCCTGAGGCTTTCTCTGTTGCAAGAGGCCTCACTATCCCTCTTGGGTAGTGAAAGGGCAGTATTTACCCAGAGGCCACAGGATAAAACCCTACCAAGTTGAGTTAGTTGAAGCAGCTAATTGTGAAAGGCCAGGGAAGCAGTACAGGACCCTTAGAATAAAGCCGTACTTTGGCACTTTCCTAGCTTTACCAATTTCCTGCCTCTCTGATGCTAGCTGAGGTTAGTCTCACTGTGTATCACTAGCGGGCTACAGTGTCCAAATAGATGTCATTTTTGAAGATCCCACAACTTCCCACATCTTCCCACAACTCTGCACTCTGCACCTATGGAAACACCCTTTTGCAACTGCTTTTATGAGGCCAACATTCATTCAACAGACACCAAATCATCACTCTGCACCTATTATGCATCAGCCAGGCATACAAATAATTTCCACCCCTCCTCCACTACTGCATGCACTTATCATAGAAAGGCAGAATCCAGCCAGGAAGAATACAGGTGTTCTTGTTGTTTTGTCTCATCAGTGGTGCCAGGGATTGAACCCAGTGCCTCTGCACTGAGCTACAATCACAGCTCCCCCCACCCCGCTTCCTTTAATTTTGAGACAGGGTCTCACTAAATGGAACAGGTTAAGCTCAAATTCATGATCCTCGTGCCTCAGCTTCCCAGAGCACTGGGATTACAGGTATGTGCCACCATGCCCAGCTTATTGCTTTTAGATTGTGTTTGTTGGTTTTTAAGATAGTGCCTCTCTGTAGTCAAAGCTGCCCTTGAACTCACTATGCAACCCAGATTGGCCTGGATCTCTTGGCAGTAGTCCTGCTTCAGCCTCTTGAGTGTGCCTGGCTTTTTTTTTCTTTTTTTTTTTTTTTTTTTTTT